TCACCTGAGAGAGAGACAGCGAGAGAGGGAACATAAGCAGAGGGAGTGTGAGAGGGAGAAGCAGGCTCCCTGGCAGGGAGCCCGACATGGGACTCGATCCCAGGACCCTGAGGATCATGACCTGAGCCGAAGGCAGATGCCTAACGACGGAGCCACCCAGGGGCCCCCCTTTCTTTCTTTTTTTAGAGAGAGAGAGAGCACGCGCAAGTGAGGGGAGGGTCAGAGGAAAAGAGAATCTTAAGCAGGCTCCACACCCAGTGCTGAGCCTGACTCAGGGCTTGATCTTACAACCCTGAGATCATGACCTGAGCTGAAATCAAGAGTTGGACACTTAACCGACTGAGCCACCCAGGCACCTCACTGAGAAAGATTTCTTAAAACCATCTTAAAATTTCCCTTATAATTCCTGGAAGTTTTACTGAGTTGAGAATTTTAAGAAATTCAAAAGCACAAACAAAATAGAAAGAAAAACCTTACAGGTTAAATTAGTGAAATGGCAACACACATTAGGTGTTCCTCATTTTTAAGAATCATTTTGAAAGTAAGAAGAATATCATCTCTAAAACTAGTATCAGTAAATACTGTTATTTTAAAATTCCTAGAAAGTAATGGGATTAAAGCAACCCGACTTGAGAATCAGGAGACCTCACCTAAACCTGACTCTGATGCTACATAAATGGGTGTCCTTGGAAAAATTATTTAATAAATAAGAGTGTTGGCCTAGCTTAATGGTTTTTAATTGGAGATGTATATGAAATGCCTGGAAAGGTTTTTGTTTTTCAAAATAAACCTGCTTGAACCCTTTCCCTGAATATCCTGAGATGCCCATGGGATGGGCAGTGGGACAGTGGATAGGAAGTTAGATGGGGTTAGATGGATATGGCAGGTGTATTTGAAAATAGTCAAGGGGCTGGGGATATAGAAAAAATTAGAGTTTAAAATTTGAAACTAGGTGATAGGTACACTGAAGTTCATCACACCATTCTGTCTCCTTTTGTAGGAGGGGGAGAAAAGCTTTCCAGATCTTCTTATACACCTTTAGTAGACAGTGCTTCTTAAACTTCAATGTCTCAGACAACTCACTAGGGATCTCCTTAAATGCATGTTCTGATTTAGTAGGTTGGGAAGGTCTGAGAATCTGAAGTTCTCACAAGTTCCTCGGTGATGGTGTTACTATTGGTCTATGGACTATATTTGAGTAGAAAGGAATTAGAACACCATGGGACCAGATAATTACTAACTAGAATATTCTATTTCCTCAGCAGGTCATAGGATGGAGTTTCTTGGCCATCATTTGGGAAGTAAAAATATAAAGCAAATCACATCATTTTTATTAATATGTAAAAATGGTAAGAAAGAATATTCATTACCATGCTTAAAATTACTGCTCAAATAGTCAGTTGAGCTCATCTATGAAATAATGTGTCTAGAAGATTATGATGTAAGCCAAGACTTAAGACAATTTAAATAATATCTAATATCCAACAGATCTAGTGTTTACATATTAAGAAGAGCTTTGTACCAGAACTGTTCTGTCATGTTTCTGCCCAGAGGCTGTCATGATGAAGTTTATTATCAGTTACTGCTTTACAAGTATAAAATAAGTTAAGCTGTCATATTTTTCTCAGGCAAAGATCCTAAGCTGTCAAAGAACGTCAATTTTAAATCTGACATAGAGAAGAAAATTATCTGTTATTCTGACCTTTAATTTCTTGACATTTTAATGCCATAATTGCTGTGGTTAGTGCTGCTTCATGATTTCAACCTGTCAAGGAAGAATGAATCAATAACCTTAAGCCATTTCTCAAATTTTAGCCCTAACTTCAAAGCTCGAAGTTATAGGCAGATTGTGGGATATATATATGTATTTTTTTTTACAAAAGGGACATATATTCATATTCATATATTAAATATTTATTGTTTAAATCAGTGTTTAAGCATCAAAAAAGTCATCTTCCTTAGGCTAGTTGGAGTTTAGTATAACTATAACCTTTCTTTGGTTTTATCTATGTGAAATGTAATGATCTTAGTATTTAAAAAATACAAAGACAAACATTATCAAAAAGAAGAAATTGATTAAGCTAGATAAGAGGGCTAACATTTTGAACACTGCTTTTTTAAGAGTTTGTGTGCAACCACTTAGGTAGGTATCAACATTCTCAAGTCATGGTAGCACAGACCTCTGGGATATCAACATTGATGTTTTCATAAAAGGTGTTGTGCCTCCCAGAAGGCATGTAAGGGGGTAGAAATGGTTACCAAATAATGAATATACTGCACTTCATTTCACTTATCTACAGAGTTCTACTGGGTGACAGTAGATGCTAAGCGCTTTTTAGGTGGGCAAACATATGTCACGTATTATTCCTCCTTTATAGAGATAGCAATTGAAGTAGAGGGAGCTCTAATGTCTTGGCCAGCATTAGATAGCTCACAGATTTTAGGTGGGTTCCCATCTATTGCAGGTTCTTAAATGATAGTGCAGTATGTTTTTTTTTTTCCCCACAGAATATCAGTTTTAATTACTAATATGGTAAGAATGGACAGTTAAACGTTTCTGAGACTATATTAGGTTTCTGGGGTAGAGGAGATAAGGGTGGGGAGTGGGGAGAAGGACCGTTAACTCATGTCCCTTGATATAATTTAATCTGCTATGGCTACAACGTAATAAGCAGTTCCTTAGCGGTCTTAAGGAGGTAAAGCATCTTCCTAAGCAATCTTGAGTTGACACAGGTCCACAGGGTCAGAGCAAATGTGTGTGTGCTTGGGCCTCTGCTGGTGTGTGCTTGGGCCTCTGCTGGCTGGCGGAAGGAAGGTAACCGTGTTCCAGGTATGGGCACAGTTAGGGTGGATTCTGAGAACAGACATCAGAGTTTTTGGGTCAGAGAGGCAGGTGAGGAGCTGGGATGGGAGGACATATCTATCACAGAATGACTCTGGAAGTTTCTCTAGTGGAACCTCAGTATTCAGCAATTATGTGCTCAGAATGAGAATGCTAGAGAGAGTCTTGAACTCAGGGCCCCTAGTGCTTGGCAGTCGGCCTCACTATGAGGGAATCAGGAGCAGTAATATATTGTTCAGACCATCTCTATAATAAGCGAACATCATGGCTGAGCCACTCCCGTCCAATAAAAACTTTTTGAAAATTATACATTTTCATGTAGTATTTCATTAGGAAGTCCTATAATTTGATAATTAAGGCCCATACACACTTTTTTCCCCCACTGTCCAAAGCAATGGTGTGACATTTTATAGAAGCAGGTATTTTTATAGAATTTAAATAATAAACACATATCTATGTAAAGAAAGTCTCAATCCTAATTCCATTTTCTTTTTATTTCCATGTATCATTTTATTTACTCTCATTTAAATGTGAAAAATCTGCTATTTTTCTGTCGATTTTAATGCTGTCTTGCACTTTCATTACATACAATATGCTTAAAATATTTTATTTTCCCAAGAGGATTAACTTGCAACCTTCTTTACAAGGACAGAACTCTATAATGGATAAAAATGTATGATCAGATATTCAGGAGCAAAACGGTTTATGGTATTTAAAAGTCAAAAACCAGTTTGGAGGTGGTCTTGGGATAAAAGGATAAGCTACTCCAATTCTTTATTTCTGATTCTAAAGGTATTGGTTCTAAAAGGAGGATGTAATTTGTAAGGTGTTTACAGAACCGGGCAAAGGTGTATTGTGAAAAGAGTAATTAAGCTCAGAATTATCTCCTATAAAATAATCTGATTACAGTTTGTACAGGGGGTTCTAAATCAGGTGAGTGTAATGGTTTGCAGAGAAAATCCCTTCTTTCATAATATCTGGCTTCTCTCTCCTTCATTCATTCTTTGCCTCTATCCCCTTCTCCCAGCTTCAGGCACTAATCCATTTCCTCCCGCGTACAACGTGATATAACACTGTGCCTAATAACGTGCTTATGACGTGTTCTCGGAATATTTAGCCCTAAGGGTCCAATGAGCCCCGATCTCGAGCCTCTCCCTTCTCCACCGCTCTGCTTGAAGCCATGCAAATGGAGCCATTTTGTTTTTGTAGAGGTAATGTAAGAAATAAGTTTATGGATGCAAATTTTTCTTGTAGAGCTTTATTTCCCTAATCTACAAGTCTTCCACCTCTAAAATTAAAAGTGACAAAATAAAACAAGCATTCCCCTGACGGGAAATGTAGCCATGATTGCTTGTTTTGCACCCAGCAGATGGCCGCTGTCGGGTGGCATGGAGGCTGGGACGTGGCTTCCTGGCAGTGACAGTAACTTACCCCGCAGCTGTTGCTCCTTTACTCTTTCACCGATCTGAAGTCATCGGGTGCAGTGTGGAAGTGATTTAAATAATATTTTATATGAATATTTTCACTAAAAATACGTGTGCACATAGCAGAGCACATAATTCCCAACTGTTAGCTATAAACTTCCAGGGTAAGAACATACAGGAATAAAAATACTCTACCCTCATCTATTTTATTGATGCATTTTGGAGAACATTCTGGAATAAAATACTCTACCCTCATCTATTTTATTGATGCATTTTGGAGAACATTCTGGAATAAAATACTCTACCCTCGTCTATTTTATCGATGCATTTTTTTGAGCATTCTGTCTGGAAGTCTGTAATTTTGCTTTTATTAAGAAAATCTATACTGGCAACTCATTTTAATGTGAACGATTCTTATTCAAATATTCAACTAGGTTTCATTAATAACATGCACAGAGCATTAAGCATTTTAATGAAGATGCTGAAATAAAACAAGTAAAATAGGGATATTGAAGTGCATTATATGTGTCTACAATTCAAAAGAGAAGAACACAATGGTCTCATTACTTGGTTTTAACATATAATACTCATTTTCCTACATTGTCAAAACCCCGAAATTTATGTTTCGTAAAAATTTATGTTGAAAGGAAATTTATACAGAAAGAGATGGAAAGCCAAATTTGTGTCTGAGAGATGAAAGAAAGTTTTGGAATAATATGGGACTTAACACCTACCTCCCTGAGCACAGGGTCAGTGATACTATCCAGGTTCACAGAGCCTTCATAGGTTAAGTAGTGAAAAACATTCAGAGCACGGACTGCTTCTGGTCCTCGCTGTTTGTAGCCAAATATAAGGTCAATCCACTGATGGAGCTGGCAAGAAACAAATTCACTTTCCAGGGCCTGCAATGAATGAATCAAGAAAGAAATAAAAGACTGTACAAACTTAGCAAATCTCCCTTTTTCTTACTTTGAAATATTCTACGTAAAGAAGTACCATATGCTCTTTGCATTACTGTATTTTATCTATATGTATCAGATGTCCTGTTCCTAGAAATAGCAAAATAATAAAACATAGACCTGAATGAAAATTTTCTCTTTCTAAAATGCTTAACTTTTTTGTGACTCCATTATGTATAGAATATGATTTTTATATTAAATAGATTTCTTAAAAAGATGCATTCATGTTCAAAACAAAAATGATCTGAAGTACCTATTTTAATTTTACAATGATTTCATTTCTCATTTTTAAACATTAATTTAAAACTAAGCAATTTCATTAGAAACTTTGATATACATTTATTTTCCTGCCTAAAGTCTTCAAATTTACCACTAACACTACTAAAAGGGGATGCCTTCCTTTGGCTACAAATGAACTCTTGCTTTTACACAGTCTAGGAATTACTGGGCAATTTTACACGTTGGCTAGCTAGTAGGAAATGAATGCAAATTACTGACAGTCAAGGACCATACTAAGCTTCCATAAAGAGTCAGAAAAAAGAGAAGGCCTTTTCATTTCCTAAGAAGCCATCATAAGCTTCCGGGAGGCATCCTGACACGTGGGCACGGAGGTCTGTTCACACCTGTGACATGAACAGTGTCCATTGCTGTGTGGCTCTCTATGTCTCTCACTTACTGCACCCACTTGTCATCAATTTCTTACTGGTTTTAAGAGCACATTGATTTCAGCAACATGAACAAAAGCTGTAGAGCTAGCTTCTTAAATTTCAACTAAGTGTAGCCATATTAAACAATTTTCTAAATTACAGCTGTAACCAAATATGTGAATGAAGTCATTCTCTGGCTTCATGACCCTGATTTCTAAGGTGTTGACACCAATTTGGAATTCATTTAATTAATAAATGATTTCTTAAATCAGCCCTCTGATAATTACATTGAATTTTTTTAATCTATAAAATATCTGAATGATACTTTGCAACTTTTCCTGTGATCACATTTTACCAGCAAGTTTATTTCCCTCAACCTCTTGATTTATTTCTTTCAAAAGTTTTGGTATTTTACTTACACCCATTATTGTGGATGTTTCTCATTCAGAAATATAAACAGACTTTATTAAAGGGTAGTTTCTGTACTAAAACTAAACAGAATTCTATATTCTATATATTCTATATTAGTGGTATTGACATAACAGTTCAGACTAGAATATAGGGAAGAAGACTAAAATATAAGAGCTAGGTTGGTTAAAATTCTGTATTGGTTATGTCAATACTGTTGGTTTGGTCGGTATGTATAAATGATTCTGTAAGTGCAGTGTAACTAGTTAATAAAAAAAAAAGTCTATTTAGTAATGTTTTCAGTGCTTGGTGCGATAAATGAAAGAATGAAAACCAAAAAATTATGGAGTGGCTATTGTCCAAATGTATTCATGGGAATTCAGAATAGTAGTAAAGTCAGATATGTTACTTCAAAGAAGATTTTAGGGGCGCCCGGTGGCTCAGTCAGTTGGGCAACCGACTCTTGGTTTCGGCTCAGGTCATGATCTCGGCTCAGGTCATGGGTTCTGAGATCTAGCCCCGTCAAGGGCTACATGCTCAGTGGGGAGTCGGCTTGAAGATTCTCTCCCTCTCCCCCTCCCCCCACTGGCACGCATGCTCTCTCTCTCGAATACATAAATAAATCTTTAAAAAAATAAATAAAGGAAGATTGTACCGACACCATCACATAATCAGTTAAGCAGCAACCATTTCAAATAAATTTTATTGATACCGCTAGACATATTTGGAAAGTATTGATGAAATTTAATATTATTCTGTTAGAGTAAAATAATTATTGAATAAAATGCCTAATGTAGTTGTGAGAGGTGGAGGGAATGATGATTTTTCACTAATTTGAATTTTAAAAATAGATCTGTTCTCTTTTATCTCCATCCACTACTTTCACTTCCCTCCTCCACCAGAGACAACATCTGTAGTGTGTTTGATGTTTCTCCTTTCGTTTGCATGTGTTTTTATAAAACATTACTCGTTATTTGTGTATGTATTTTTGATCCATAAAAATGGTACAAGGTTATAGATTTCACTTAGTTTCTTACTTTTTCCACATAGCATTGCTTTTGAAGATCAGCCTATGTCGCTGTGTGCATAGGAAGTCCGTTGTTTCTAGTGGCTGCACAGAGCTGCCCCAGCAACGAGCGCTAGACTGCCCCTAGCCCCCTGCGACACAATGTTGGGATGAATGTCCTCTCTTGCACCTCTTTTTGGATCTTTGTGAGAACTTCTCTGGGACTCATAATCTGGAGTGGGACTTCTGTGTCCCTGCCGCGGATGTGCCCATTAGTGCCCAGCTGCACTTCAGGATGGCTGCCCTCGTCTCCACTCCCTCCCACAGTGCATAGAAGGCTCTATATGTCCACAAGCCCATCCACTCTTAGGATTGTCCGCGTTTCTAATTTAGCCAGTGTAACAGATATAAAACAGTATCTCATTGTTTTAATTTGTATTCCTCTGATTAATAAGGAATTTGACATCTTTTTAATAGAGCCTTTTGGGTTTCCTCTTCTGTAAACTTCTTGTTCACGTCCTTTGCTCATCTTTTTATGGAGGTTCCTGTCTTTGTGTTGTTATTTTGCAAAAGTTCTTTATGTATTTTAGGTAATAGTTCCTTGTTGGTTTTAAACATTGTAAACGCATGCTCCCAAATGTTACATGTCTATGAACTTTATCCGTGTAGTTCTTTGTTGAATAGAAATTCTTAATTTTGAGCTCATCAATTATTTTTTCTCTTTATTTTTATGCTCTTGGGATTTTGTTCTGAAATTACAAAGATAACTTTTTATAATTTTAATGTATTAGCTTTTTTTTTTTTTTAAAGATTTTATTTGTTTATTTGACAGAGAGATAGAGAGCACAAGTAGGCAGAGAGGCAGGGAGAGGGAGAAGCATGCTCTCTGCTGAGCAGGGAGCCTGACGCGGGGCTCAATCCCAGGACCCTGGGATCATGACCTGAGCCAAAGGCAGCCGCTTAACCGAATGAGCCACCTAGGTGCCCCTAATGTATTAGCTTTATGTTTACGGTTTTACTTTTCATATATTGGTCTTTAATTCACCTACAGTCTACTTTCACTCGTATGTGGTATTAAATAGGGATCCAGTATTATTTTTGTTTATATAATAAGTCAGTTTTTCCAATACCTCTATTAAACAAACACACTTTTCCTCAGTGGTATATGATGCCATCTTTGGTGTGTGTATATTTGAGACAAAGATATAAAACTGCTAGTGTTTACAAATAGGATAATCTACCTAGAAAAAGCAATACAATCAGCAGCCAACTTATTAGAACTAATGAAAGGGATGCAAGGTACCTTTTTCTTTCTCTCCTTTCTTCCCTCCCTTCCCTTCTCTTTTCCCTATCCATCTGTCTATCCATCCATCCATCCCTCCATCCATCTATCTGGATATATGTGAGTCTCCAGCTCTTTCCAATCTTTTTATTTCTATTGTTACCCTAATTTATCTTAATTATCTTTATTTCTCATATATCTTTCTATTTGGTGGGTTTATTCTTTTTCAGTCAATGCAGCTATTCTTGGACCTTTATTCTTCCCTATAACTTTTACAATAAGTGCACATAGATACATCAAAATAATTATGATTGGGAGTCCAATAAATTTACGGGTTAATTTGAGAAAGCTGATATTCGGCTCCCATCCAAGGTCCTAGAATGTCTCTTTACTTACATGGGTTATTTTCTATGTATTTTATTAGAGTTCAAAATTAATATTTTCTCCATAAAGGATGTGGGAATTCTTGGTTAATTCCCAGAGAGTCCACAAGTTTTGATGCAATTACAACATTCTAAAATTACATTTCATATTTGGTTACTGATGATTTAAAAAAATGACACTGATTTCTTTAAGTTGATTTTGTTTCTGGCGAGTCTTATTAGTTATAACTATAACGTCTTTTTTTTTTCTTACAGAATTGTTCTTAACTTTGAGGACTACGTTAAACAATAGTGGTGATATGAAGCATCTTTGTCTTTTTCCTAATCTTGAACAATTTAGTCTTTTTGTAACACACATACACACATTCCCAAATTTTATATATGTATATATATATTACATATATAAATACACACACATTACATTATATATATATACACACTAACAGATATTATATATATATATATTTTTGGGGGGTTGTTAGATAATATTTTGCTTAGAATTTTTGTATTTATATCTATACATGAAATGGCCCTATTTCTTTATTCTTTTTTTCTCCCTTTAACTACTTTTGGAATCAAGATCACACTAGCCTCACGGGTGGCTTGCCATGTTTTCTGCAACTACTTTCTAAGAAATTATTTTATTATCTCTTGAAAATTTGGTAGAATTTACCTGTAAAATAATATGGCCTTGGATAATTTGGAGATGGGAAAATTTTACCATTTAAATTTCTTTCAGGCTTTTAAGTCTCTATTTCTTTTGGTGCCAATTTCAACATTTTATATATTTTTTCTCAGTATTTATTTCATCTCAGTTTAAAAAATTATTAGTTCATATTTGTTTACAACAATTTTTAATTCAATTTAAAAAAATCTCTAAGTCTATAGTTATTTATCCTATCCTATTCTATATGTTAGAGAGGCAGCAGAGTGAATCACTGAACAATTAATTGTTTAAATAATTTTGCCCCAGGTTTTTTTGGGGGGGATTATAAAATTAAATGACAAAGAAACAATAAGGTAGCAGACTCAACAGATAATGTCTTATAGATTGTCTGTCTTGCTAGTCACTGTGCGGAGAGAAAAGAAAATCCAGTTAGAACATCTAAAAGCCAACCCGGTTTTAAATCAAATGCACACCTGAGAATCGAATTTTAGGTATCCCATAATGAAAGCATAAAGACCTATCTCAAGCTAAAGCCTGACACTGAGACTTA